GTTCCTCGCCTCTGCTAAACTTAAATCTAAATCTAAGTCTAAATCTAAATCTAAAGGGTCAGGACGAAGAATAAGACTTTTTGCTTTTAGACTGCTTTTACATTTAGATTTAGATTTAGATTTAAGTTTAGCAGAGGCGAGGAACAGGCCCCAGGACTACGGCTAGGCCATGGGAAATGCGCCCTTCTTGATATCAACTTTTCCTCCTGAAATCGCGAAGAAATGCAATATTTGATTTGTGATGAGTTGCGACATCCTGCTAGAACGACATCTGCTCTGCATTTGGGAAAACCAACATTTCTGGAAAAAGCGTATTCAAGACAAAAACTTTCCATGTCTCGGCAAAAACTTATTCCGAATCTTGCATCTAAGTTCATGGATCTTTCTGCGATTCGACTACTCAGGATTGGCGTATGCGGATAAAGCAAATTTTTACCGTGGAAGATTCGTCGCAACCCACAGTTTGCGAACCGCTGGTGTTGTTAAAAGATTCTCTCCTAATTGAAGAATAAAAGTGCCCTGTAAATTAACGTGATGATGCTGTGTTTCCGCTTGCTTGCTGCTAGGATCGACACGGTGCATCACAAACGAGTGCGGAGAGCAACCAGACGGGATGAGTGCCCGCAGGCTCGAAGTTTCAGCATAAAGGTGGTTTCTCATCGGCCGGAGTTTCCTGGGAGAGCGCCTGGCCGTTCCTGTTTCGGCGAACACGTAGACAATCATGTCTTTGTAGTTCGCTCGGGTTGGCCTACATTTCCACTAGAGCGGGTCATGGGAAACTACTTGTATCGAGTAGTAAACACATGCGGGTTGGTTTCCGAGGATTTTTTCCCCATTAAGTCGGCGCTGAATGTTAAGGGGTGTGGGTCTCGTGACAGAGCTGGGCTTATGCGCGTAAATACGTTAGTATACTTATGGGAAATGTTTTTAAATCTCTCCATCGATGGGCTATTGCGCGGGATATCTTTTCTGCGAGGTTGCATTTCATGCGAGCCATTGAAGTGGAAACAGAAGTAATAGAATGACAAGAATACTGCACTGCTATGTAGGCCTACATAAGTTCAACCGCAGCTATACTTTCCTTTTAAAATCATGGTCAAATGAAGTATGAAGTGATTTAGGTGCAATTGGAAGTCTTACGATCGTAGTTCGTTCATATGTACAAACAAAAAATCATCTGGAGAGGAAGTGAGTACGTAGCTGGGTATACTAGGCAGCTTTTCAATGCGCGCGTTCGCCTGGAGGAGTCGAAATAGCACCCATGCGGGGAGCCACAATCATTAGTAAGTGGTCACAACTCTGCTTCTGCCTGGCGCTGGAGTGGAGTGCCATCTGCACTCACACTGTAGTTTACGAGGTCGGGGAAAGATGGCGCGGCTTCATTGTGGCGGTAAGTTTTGTTTAACCATTGGTGGCTGGTGATAATGGTAATTTTCCTTCTCTTAACTCTTCTCTATGTGAAATAGTGATAAAGCCAACTCTTTATCTGTGTAAAACAGTGATAAAGCCAATCTCATCATCTTCTAGACCAGCGGTTCCCAGACTTCTTTGAATCGCGACCCACTTGCTGATGCAAAAAAATTCGCGACCCACTGGAATCCAGAATCGACCTTTTCTGCAGGGCATGTTTTATCCTGAGCGAATGCAGATATAGTGATTTTTTACACTGGAAAATGTTCGCGACCCACAGTTTGGGAACCGCTGTTCTAGACTGTCGATCGCACCTTGGAAGTGGTCTTGGTTGAAGCAGACGTAGAAGCGTCCTCAAATGTTCCAGATCCTGTGTGACGGGACTTAAAAGCTCAGATGTGGGATTCGGAATTAAGAGAGACATTTCGCAAGTGTACGAAATCTACCGAACGATTCGTTCATCTTGGACCGAGGGACTTTTTCAAGAAGTTTACTCTGGAGGCATGCGGTAGACGGATCCGCGATCTCCCCAATCAGAGAAGTAGCAAGTCGAACCGAAGAGTTTCGGGGATCCCGGCACTCCGCATCCTTTGGCGTCACGAAATACAGGCCTAAGAATCTGTATATCCGCAATCTGATTCATTCTGGTGAGGGTGGTGAGATAAACACTTGAAATTCGAGACTCTTGTCTCTTCCGATTTGACAGCCACGGTCCGCCTGAGTATCCGAGTAAAACTGAAGTCCTGAATGTGCGATTTCGTTTCCATATCGTCCATCATTCACCTGTTCCAGTGAGGTCCCCCTGATACTCGTTCGTAGGGCGCACTGAATAGGATTTCTCGAGAGAACCATGACCTGGGTTTTCGAGACGCTGTCATTCCAGCCTCAGTGCATTCGGAGTTGAACCGATTCTTTGCGCTTAGAAAGTTCCAGTCTAGATTGCGCCAAGATGACGGCATCATCGGCAGAATTAAAAACATCATCGGTGTTTTTACCTCAAACCAACGATATTGACCCTCAATCTGAAGAAAGTCAACCTGTTTTGGGAAATGATTAGGCGGTTGAGTCAGAAACGGGTCGTTACCCAATTAACTCGCCGCTATTTGATCGTTGGCCAAATGCCGAAGGAATGAGGTTAACCTTGTCTTTGGTTATCAGTTCTTTCGTGACTCGCGGAAGGTCGCGGCCGCAGGATCATTTGTTTATTTATAAAATTGAGTCAGAGATGTTTCTCGTTGGCAGCATGCCTTCTGTTGAGTTTTTGTGTACTTGCGCTGTCTTTGCGACTTTTTGCGTCTGATCTTCGTCTCCTGCAATAAGGGTTTACGGGTAAAATCAAAGCTCTCATCAGGGATAAAAAGCGGAAATGGGATGCGTACAAGCGGCCTGGAGATAGCACGGACCATGAGGAATACGAGGCTTGTATGAAAAGTCATGCGTGTTCCGCAATAAAAATTTGCATATTGCGCGCACGCAAAAAATTCCTACAAATTCTGAAAGCCCCGTCAAATAGGAACACAACGATATGTGGAATGTGTTCCAAACCCTCCCGAATCACCGGAAAAAAATTGTTACACAGAGGCATGTAAATCACATTTCCCGATTTCCAAGAAATTCTTTTTATTTTCTTAAAAAAAAAA